TACTTAATTTTGCATTTTTTTGTGTTTTACTTCACTTCCTTTTTTATTCCATCTTTTTTCTATATCTTGTTTTCTCTTCATTGCCTTTTTACCTTTTAGTCCTTAATACTTACATACTGGTACACATCAAAACAATGTCGTGTATTTTTTATGATGCCATTGTTATCTGTTGATTGAAAAGACTGACTGTGAGTTTGTTTGCCCTTTCTTCTCATGAGGCTCAACTCCTTGAAAATGGGCGGTTATAGATCGGTACAGGCATAAAAGAGATTTTTGATACGTATATATATACTTAGTTTGCTAAATATTAAGCCTCCTTTCTAAGGAGAGGCCCGTGTCCAACAGTGGACCATTAGAAGCTGTTGAAGATGATGATGAAATATTTGATAAACAAAGATGTTTGCTATTGTGTGTGTTGATCTATGACTTTAGAGTCAACACTACTACTATTTTTTTATCAATTTTGATTCGTTTAAGAATGTTGAAATATGCCATTTTTGCGGCATAAACGGCAGTTTCTTTTTTATGTTAACTTAAAAGTTTACGTCAGAACTTAAGCTTGATTTTCAGGTAAGTATTTTGGACCATTAGAAGCTGTTGAAGATGATGATGAAATATTTGACAAACAGAGATGTTTGCTATTGTGTGTGTTGATCTATGACTTTAGAGTCAACACTACTACTATTTTTTTATCAATTTTGATTCGTTTGAGAATGTTGAAATATGCCATTTTTGCGGCATAAACGGCAGTTTCTTTTTTATGTTAACTAAAAGTTTACGTCAGAACTTAAGCTTGATTTTCAGGTAAGTATTTTCTGTAACACATACTTACATACTTATTAAAACTTCCTATAAACTTGTAAAATATTCTAAATTTCATTTGCCTGCGTTAGCGATATTTTCTTAAACTATGCAAAGATGATTTAGGAGATATGACCTAGAATATTTCCAATTCCTAATATAGAAATCCATACCACAATATCTTTCAAACGGCCGAACGGACCTGAAAAATATGTATGTAATGCCTTTTTAATATGACAATCCAGGTCCGTACATTCATTCGTTCCAATTTTAGTTAATAGATGGCGCTATGCTAGCGCCATCTATGAGGAAATGCTAGCATTGCCATGGTATTTGCTCGGCTGCTTGGTATGCAGAAATGCTGTATGGAGTGTAAAGGCAAGGAGAACCATTTCATAGGGAGGAAAGTTGAAAAAGTGACCCGTTGTATACTGAAAATAGAGTTCGCTGGCGTATGAAAAACTACGATATGAACATAGCTGTTTTAGACAGAATAAATGTGTACTGACTTAAAATATTATAATACTTTTACTGTCTGAAAGTTATTACACGTATATTTATTGTCTTTAAAACTCATTGACTATTTTCTCAGTCTATTACACAGTGTCTAATTTATTATTTAAGCCAATATAATTGCAATGTTAGGGAAGATGTTTATCAGATAATCGTTGAATGCCTAAAAAATAAGGCTGAAAGAGATCGGTTTCAATTGAAACTTGGCATATCTCTGCGTTCTGTTGGAGTTTGTAACCATTTTGTCTATGCCTGTGTCAGACCAAGCGAAACTGTTGTACAAAATTGTTAATTTAGGTTTTAAGAATAGATGTAGTTGTATTAGTAGTTTCCTATGGGGTGACATGATCACTTCGTGATCAAACCCTCACCTTTTGGTAAATAAAGAAAAAAAAACAAAAAGCCAAAATAAATTTATCCTAGGCTACCGCAGCGCCACCCTTATTGGACGCGTTTTTAAGGAAACTTTCATACACTTTAATGGTTCTTCTTGCCTTTACACTCTATAGCCTGGTGGTAGCTGGTATTTTTAACTAATGGCAATAGATGGCCGCTAATTGCTTGGAGGTAATTTTATATTCAAGTTAAATTGACATATGGACTAGACTCACTGAACATCATAGTTTGTAAACTACACAAATAAAATATTAAATCTTTTCACATTTATTAATGTTAGTACTCAAATTTCTATAAATTAAATATGTAGATAGAACTATATCTTCAAATGATATGTCGAATCTGATAAAAAATGAGTGCATTTTGTTATTTACGCCCTTGTATCGCCCTTGTATATTTTATATTTTTAACTCATTAAGGTTTAAGTTTATTTTGGCGTTGTGATTGGTGGAGATTTCAGTTCGGGCCAATAGTAGCGCCGAACGCAGTCACCGTGACGATCGAGTAGATGTGAAATAAACTCGTAATTGGGCCTCTGACTGCTGATGAACATACTTATATTGCTAAATATGTATATATGTAATATGTATATATGTAATATGTATATATTATAGATAAATTACACCCAGACACAGAACAAATGATCGTGCTCATCACACAATATTTTGTCCTGGGGGAAACCTCCTATACCTGGTTCCCCGGCTATTAGTACCCGAGACGGCGTGCGGTTTTAGTCGGTTCGAGTCCGACATGCCAGATAGGTGGTATCCGAGGGGCTTCCGAACGGAAAAAAAAGGGGGAAACCTCCGGCTTAGCGGTCAGGGTCACTAACCACTCGAGTTTCGAGTCGAGGGAAAGGACATAGGATAGTTTTTAACCGACATACACGAGAGCGGAGCCGCAGGCAAAAGCTAGTTAAAAATAAAACAACTAATTAACTTACAGCGCAAATAATTTAAACCTAGAAATAAGTTTAGTCTTAAAATTATAATACGTAATTTCATTCGCATTCAACATTTTCGCGTCTGTCTGGTTTTTTCATCAATTAGCTTGTTATTCTTTTTTCAAATGAATCCTTTAATTTCAGGAAATAAATAACAGCACAAAATGTAATATCAATCATTCAGACATATTTTCAACTGTGGCAGAGCGATACTTCCACAAAAATGGCCTCGACCAGAGTGATAACATAGAGAACTGGTGTTAAGCACTTCGTTCATTGCTTTTCACCGACTGAGTCAAGTTACCAGACCCCAATCTCATTATAGGGGAGAGGGGGGGGGAGCGCACAAATTTGCGTCTCTTGAATTGGTCTGTTCATTTACCCTCCTATACCATAAAAAAGGAAATTCATCATTATCATTATAATATTCATTATTATATTCATCGTCCCAGCTAAAAGACGTCGACTGCTGTACATAGACCTCCCCCTAGGTTCGCTACAACTACCGGTCCTGTGCTGCCAGCATGCAACAACCTTCACCAGGTCCTCGGACCAATTTGTGAAACACCTACGTACACTGCGTCAAAAAAAAAAGAAATTCTGTCATAAAGAAATACTAGGTTGAAGATTTTAATTTTTATCACCTAGTTAAACGAAAACAGCGGTGGTCTAGTAAAAAAATAATGAAGATGGTAGTTTCTACGTTATGTCAAATGTCTTGAAAAATTGTGAAAGTTTTGAATGACGGGTCAGCAAACGTTTAAAAAATTCAACCAAAGTGAGAACCTCCTAATTTTAAGACTTTAGAGTCGATTGGCAAATGTTGTCATCATTATATATTCTGGCCTTTAATAGTCCACTACTGGACATTAGACCTCTTCTTATAAAGTAGGTTTTGGCCTACTATATCACGCTTGTCAGACGGGTTGGTTTTAGGTCAATTTAGTACAGGATGTTTACTATTTATATCTAAGCATAATCTATTATTACTCATATTATCAATGAATCAATGCATTTGATCGCCTTTTCGGTTGAAATAGATAAGCAAAATTACATACAGCTTTTATTACTTTATTTCTTGCTATCATTTTCAATTAATGTAATTAGTGGCAATGTATATGTGATGGATTGATTTAATAATAAAAACAACTTTTGAAGTACCCACAAATCTAATCATATCCGAGATAATAATGAAACTGATTGCATGATATAACCTACGATATAACCTACGCTAATAGCAACTACGAGCTTATAGCAAGTATGAATTATTATGAAACTCTAATTAACAGTGACACTTTTTTTTTAGAAAGACAACTCCCGCATTAGGAATATATCCTGTGTCGCGGGGGACTTTACAAACATACATGAAACGGACACAAAGAACACCCAGCCTCAGAACAACAATTTGTGGATCACACAAAGTGTTGTCCCACTGGATAACACTTTGCTGTTTTTCTGGGGGTTTGAACCCCGACGACCGCTTAAACCACTACGCCATCCGTGCAGTCAGATTTCAGTGATTAGCCATTTAAAAATATTTACTTACCACTCTCTTTTAACTTTCTTGAATAATAACTGACACATACGATCTAACAGGCAATATTACTGCAGTTTCCTGAGAAATAACATTTACCTAAAAACTTATAAATGACGCCACTTGTAGTGCCATGTCCGACCTTTATAGTATTATTCTGGAGTAAAATCAAACAATTGTCTTTAAGAAACCCTGTAATGCAGCACTTATGAAAATGAATTATTTAATGTAGGATCACGGCATCAGCTCGGCAGCAGCTTGGTACTGGGTTATATAGTATAAGAAAGTAAGTGAGGTTGAGGATTTAGATTTTGCTAACCCAAGCTGGTATTGCAAATATTTCTGCGCTAACACTCAAAAATCCAATATTAAAACGAGATTTTTTTTTTAAAAATAAGAATTTCATAAAGTGGTTTTAAACCACTTTAAAAATTCATTTTTATATAACAAATTAATATTGCTACTAATAGAGTGAATTTCTACTGCCGAGAATTTTCCCTAAGTCAATGATTAAGTATTAATTAATGAAAGAGGGTAATTAAATATTTTAATCAAGTGGTTTTGTTAAGCACGAACAACATTCGTTGTATTAAGTCGGGGCCTATAAATAGATAAAAAGTAAAAGTAAAAATGATTATTAAACATAAGTGATTAAAGCTACATAAAGACAGCCATATGAAGAAGAAAGAAATCTCCAGGAATGTATTTTTACATTTATTTACTAAGGGTTTAAAAATACATAGAAAATAAACAAAGATCGAATTGTTGAAAATAGTAAAAGTAAATTTATTTATTCTTTTACATTCTTGTCATTTACCAAGTTCCTAGGGGGTTGCCAATCCATGGGTATCTGCGCGGGCACGCGGTGCAAACTGGCATGTAGTAGGTATTCTGCAAAACATATATATATATGTTTAACAATAAATATTTAATATATTATGTATACAGAGAATTTGTGTACAAACATAATAGTATATGATATTTTTTTCTTGGAAGACAACGAGGAGACTGGTCACCTAATGGAAAGTGACTACCGCCACTCATGAACGCCTGCAACTCAGGAATTTCAGGACTTTAAGGAAGGATTAGCTCTTTTCTTAAAGGTTTTCAGATTGGTTTTACAAAGCAAAAAGTGTCTTGAAAAGTTTGTGAGTTAAATAGTCAAACTACTCTTTTAAAAAAAAAATCTGAACCCAAAAAATGGTACATTTTTTTTACAAAAAATTATACCTGAATAGTTTGAGACATCTGAAACGCGGTCGCCTGTTCCAAACTAGACAAAGCCTGCTGTAACTGTTGCGAAATAAACAGACCGCTAAAAAACTTTTGAATATCTGCATTAGACGCAGAATATATAAACATTATCATCACAGTAGTATTCATACTGGGTGGGAATACCCCCACGTTCTCTGACTTATCCGACAAAATCACTAAGTACTAGTGTAATTAGCCAATCTATCAAGTCCTGAACTCCTTAAGATACTATTTTTAAGAAATACAAGGAGTATAATAAAATACGTTATAGAAATATGCCGCATACGCCCTTTCTATAAACAATGCAATTAGGAAGCCAAATGTAGCGCTGTAGCAGTCGACGGCCACAAACATAATAATTAATACTATGAATTTCCAAAAACAATTCAATTCAGTGTACTTCAATTCAATTTTTATTATCATTTATAAATTAAAACGCTTAAATTGTGTTACTTTTTAAAAAACGAGACCCTGCTTTGGCTTTTGTTCTCCTAGTCCTTAAACATTAAAAAATGTTTACTTACGCCATTGTGATCACTGCGTATTCTACAAGGGTTACTAAACCTACAAGTAGTAGGTTGGACGGTCCTGCATCTCTGCTGTCTGTATTCAGTCAATGGAATGGGGTTCCTAACCCATTCAATGACCTCTTCGGAGTTGACCTATAATGAACAAACATACATTAGAAAAGAATGATTTGATTTTGAATTTAGGGGCACAATATTTTTATGGTGGTAGGGAGATATTTTCTTTACGGTGTAGAAGACAAACAAGCACACGGATCATCTGATGGTAAGTGACCGCTCATGGAGACTTGCATCATAAAAATAGTACGTACGTGGTACGTACGTACAATACGAAACGATAAAAATCGTACGTACGTAGTACAGGCTTCTAAGTGTTCTCAAAAAAATACATACCGATAAGCTCTCTTACTCGGTAAAATGTAATAAAAAATAGCTAACACCAGTCTTCTGTAAAGCTGTGATATGCCTCCTCTCTAGACGGCCCATAAGCGTAAAAATTAAAATAGCAGTTTTGTAATTAAAGATCATATGATCACAATCAGCTATACCAAATCATCTTGTTGGTATACATCTATATAAATAAATATTTTACTACTAAATTTGAACATGTTAATTGAAAGTGTTACTATTCAATTCTATTCTCGTCTTCTTTTATAAGTCGTAAATTGCAAAAGAAATCTGTTATTACCATGAATACATCATTTAAGCTGTTGAGGAGGTTCAAAAATCTTGCCAAAGCTCTTTCTACTGCAGGGTGGGTTCTTATAAAGGCCTCGTGCACGTAAAATCCGAATGGAGCTCTGTTTCCAAGGTAGTGGTTTTCGAAGTTTTTCAAGAAGAAGTTGTACCACCCTTCTTCGTCTTGCAAGTTAGGTCCGCTGTATAACAAAATAAAATCACCGTCAACCGACACTGCACCGAAACTTGAGACAATTGATTTTTCTTTGAAATTCAATTGTAATTTATTATTTATTGCCTCAGAACGTTATCTATGAATCGATTTGAATTTTTTGTTGTTTTATTTCTTGTTTGTGTTGTTTGTAATAATGGTAAATTAAGGAATAAAGTTTATTACAGTTTATTTCAATACATCAAGATGTAAATTCATCAATGTCGGTGGTACTTTTTTAAAAGTTAGTCATTAATTATATTGACAAAAAACTCTGGATTCTAAAAATAATAATAATAATAGACACACACGGCTCTCTGATCCCAAACTAGGCAGAGCCTGTACTATGGTAACCAGACCGCTGATAAACATACTTATATATTTCTAAATACATACATATTATAGATAAATTACACCCAGACACAGAACAAATGACCGTGCTCATCACACAATATTTGTCCTGGGTGGAAATCGAACCCACGACCTCCGGTTTAGCAGTCAGGGTCACTAACCACTAGACCAACAGGCCCGTCAAAAAAGAAACGCATGTTTTTTAATAAATCTCTGGCAACTTAATATATATATATATATATAATGTCAAACTTACCGAGAACATGCATCAACAAATGGACAAGGGAAATCTTCAAGATCCCTCCATGCCAAGATAGGGAGAACCCAGGGTCCGTGAATAGAAGAGGTGGGGCAGGGTGGAACATTACACTCCTGAGTACTACGGTAGTGCAGAGTATACGGCCAAAGTCCTGGATTGATTAGATTGATGGTAGCCATACTGGCGTCGTACAGCAGACTGTGATTAGCCATCATAATGAATTGTGCATCGCCGGCCATTTGGAGGAAAGGCATACGTACACCTGAAAAAGAAAACGTGTATAATACTGGAAGTCACTAGTGACATAATATAGTGAATGTATAAAATTGTATAGCGTTACCGGTGAACCTACATCGGGTAAGGGACGGTGTTACGAACTGAAATAGTGTATTCAGACCATTCTGAATCGTAAATCATTGGAATTTTCTGCCAGAAAATTAAGCTGTTAAACTTTAAGGTCAAAGTCATGCCCCGTAGGTATCGCACAAAAGTAATTATATAATATACCTAAATAAAACTGTAGTTGAAGTAGGACTATATTGACGAACTATTTTTTTTCTGTTCTTATGATTTGCATAAGTTTGTTGCTCATCCAAGGCAATTAATTATTTTTCTTGAGCACGTTTATGTGTTTGTTGGGTGTAATTATTTAAGTATGTTCATCTTCTGTTTGGTTCCGATAGTTCTAAAGAACTATTGGCTCTTCAATTAAATAGGAAAATAAACGAATCTCTGTTCTCTGAATAACTGAGACAACTCCCATACTTGGAATATAGCGAGAAACTCTACATACGCACATGAAACGGAAACAAAGAACACCGAGACTCAGGACAACAATTTGTGGTTTGCACAAAATGTTGTCCCGTGTTTGGGATCGAACCAAGAACAATCGGCGCAGTAGGAAGCGCGAGGTGACCGCTTAACAAACTACGCCATCCGTGCAGACATTTATTCATTTTCATTTATTTATTTATACAAAATGACGGTATCTAAAGAAACCACATAGGTTAACCACTTATACAATATAAGAAGTGAATGTAGGTGGGTACTTAGAAAAATAGCGCCTATTCTCAGTATAGGAAGCTATACATTAGTATTTGTGAATACTAATGTATAGCTTACAGCTTACTTATGTATAGTTCACAAATACTAATGTATAGCAATACTAAGATATGTATACTAAGATGAACTAAATGTTGTATACTTTAAGAACATTACATTAACAAACAGAAGAATTAAATAAACAACAGTTACAATAGGTTAAGTAAGTATTGTTTTTGTTTATATTTAATATTTTTATTGTTGTTTATTTTTATTTTTATTACTGCAGTACAACAGATTATTCACTTGAATCGTCGTATTTTTTTTCCATTGGCATTAAAATTTGGTCCAGTTTTGGTAACACTTACCTTTAACAGCATTGCTGGGAATATTTGCAAAGTGGGCAACCTGAGTCCTTTGATCAACAAACTCCTTCACAAGAGTTTCATAATCGGCATTACGCCAATAGTCCTGATCATGTTTGTGAGTAATGGAGTGAAGTGCAATTTCAAATCCTCTGTTGTAGAGTTCATTTATAGATTGATAATCAGTGTATTCATGACTCATGTAGAAAGTAGTTCCAATAGGGCAGTTGTTGCTATTCCTACGATTGTATAGGAGACGGCGGTAGGTTACCATATTGAGTGGAGTAACAGCATCATCAAACGTTAATGTAACAAACTGAAAAAGTCCAAAACGTTATTTAACAAAAAAAAAATTGGTCACCTGATGGAAAGTGACCATTGCTGCCCATGAACGTCTGCAACTCAGGAGTCACAAACGCGTTGCCGGCCTTTTAGGAATGAGTATGATCTTTTCTTGATGGTTTGACGTCTTATCCCCGTCATATTTATAAAGTAGGGTAGATAGATAGATAGGTACTCTTTAGTGCACACCATAATTAGGATATATACGATGATACATACAAAAAAAACTAAAACAGTGATACAATATCAGCAGCCTTATCGCAGTCTCCGATCTCTTCCAGGCAACCTTTAGATGGACTATACTATATAGTAATATGTAGCGTGTGGTGTGCATTTACAATTTCCGTATATTAACTAATATTTATATACATAATTACACATATATATACATGAATACACATTCATACAATTACATAAATATATAAATATAAATACATACATAAACATACATACCCTTATAGCACATAGTTATTATTACAGAGATAAATCCCGTGGGTGTCGTAAGAGCTGACTAAAGGAGCAAACTACGCAAGACACCGGCACTGCAGAGAGAAGGAAAACTTGATACAAACCGTTTACCAACCCGTCTGCCCAGTGTGGTATAGTAAGGCAAAACCACCTTTCTAAGACTGTTGGACTATTAAAGGCTAGATGATGATGATGAATTTGCCAGAACGAATTTATAGCAGAAAAATCATATCATGAAAGAACTTATTCTTTATAGTTATTCAGTTTCTGTCTTTACAATAGTCGTTTACCACGGCAATATCTAAGTTGAATACACGGCAGAAATAACAGTTTTAAAAACAGTGGCACTACTTATAGAGTGGGACCAAGTAAACCATTTAGTAAAATTAATCAGATTTCTTAAATTTATCATTTATCACACATAATGAATGCTAGACAGAAAAATTTATATTAGTATAAGACGTTATGCTTTTATCCAACTGTCAAGGAAGGGTTATGTTTTTCGCAACTACATAACTAGTATGATTATTTGTAAATTTGTTTATTACCTTGGTTTTTTTTTCAAAATGCCTATTTTTCAGTCTCGAAAACCCATGTGTCTTTTTGAAGGAAAAAAAAGCAGTGGCGGATTTTTGGTGCAAAATAGCGATTGGTTGATAAAAAAAAATAACCAGACCTATCGACTAGGGTACCAAAATCAATTATTGTATTACTTTTAAATTATCTTTTTGCAGTCGGGTTTTTGATTATATATTTAGCTCACCTGTGGTACGGATCTCGGCCTTATACCGCCCGGGATGTCAGTACCTGAACATCTGCAATCCGGTAGACGACATCTTTCAGGGACGCACTTTTCTGCTTCTGTTGACTCATTTACGTCGTCACAAGCAACAGCTGCTACAAGCAACAGCAATCCCCAAAAGATTGGTGTCTTCATTTTGACGGCAATTTCTTGAATAGCGATAATTAACTGAATTGTACTTAATTTATAAGTATTGTATTATCAGTGTTGTTGTAATTAATTGTATTGTATCTATCTAATCACAGTTTAAATCAATTTTATTTTAAGTTATCAGGTTAAGGCTGAGGCTATATAGAGACAACTGAAAAACTATTAAATCTGCTACCATTGAAAGATAAACCGATATCGTTTTTATAATACAACAAAAGAAGATTTGTTGACATTTTATAATCAAGAACTGCAAAAAACCATTGTACCTACGTGACGATTATCGGTAACTGATTAAGCTGTATATTATTTTCTTAGAAAGAAATTTGACCTTCTGGAGCTATGCATCAAGCAAGGTGGATGACTCTTTAAAGATATGTTTGTACTTCAAGACGTACCTATGTTTATTCATTGCGATTATATAGGTGAAACCATGGCTTGGATGTAGTCTGGCAGTGAAGGCACCAAATCAAGATTTGTGGTTTTTAAAGAGGCTTAAGGAATATAAGACTATTGACAAATAGTTTTCCAAAGCAGCCCTGAGCAAGTTGGTTACTTCAAGCAATCTTAAATCAATACTCTTTAAATCTCAGAAGAAATTGCCGTTTTATCACTCTTTGATGATAAAGTGAATGAACAAACCAAGACGAACATTGTAGTGAACTTACAAAGAGAGAGTTTGTATGAGTCTGGGAAGAGATACATTCTATCTGAAGAAGATATGTCTGATTATTTCTATGGTAAATAGGAATACAATACATAGTGCTATTTTTATACTGTTTTTAATAAATTGATTATGATACTGCCTTATTTATCGTTGCAGGAAAATCATTAAGTAATTTTGTGTCTGTCAAGAGCACAAATTTATTTTCTCCATTGAAAATTAATAAGAATTTCCTCCAGAGACGCGTTTCTACACGTTTCTACATGGGATGAAAATGTTGCCTATTTAGAGGCAAAAAGAAAAGTGCTTTCTTTAACGGCAGTTATTGATACAGCTGAAAGAGCTGTAAAGCTTATGCAAGAATTTCATAGTTTGATCACTGCAAAGGATGAACAGGAGCAATTTTTGCTATGCTGTATTCAGGAGTATAGAAATCTGTATCCAGACTGTAAAAAAGATATACCCAAAAGAAAATATCCTTAATAAATATTTTATAAAATTTAAATAATTCAATTGATTTAGCTACATAACGGAAAGGGTTAAAAACAACAATTTTCAAAATCTTCAGAGTTCTGTCGTCACGGGTTAATGTTGACGTAGGAACATAAATTTTTATATTTAAGTAATTCTGGATAGTTTAAAAAGAAATAGACGGTAAGCATTTCATTTGCTAAAAAAAATTTTTTTACCCTTTTGGGGACCCCCCTATTATGAATACGTTATATTATCAACGCTTTAAACAATTTTTTATATTCAGTGAACTCATTTCCAATTTTGATAAATACTGATATCGTTGCACCCATCTTATTAAGGCATCTTTACCCAGATAACATCGAGATAAGATATTTAATAAAGAAATGAGATAAGATACCGAATCGTATTAATTAACCAAAACAGTGATAGGTAGGTAATATTAGTTCTTACACATTATTGGTAAATAATTTATTTGTATTCATAATTTCAAAGTTTGCAGAAATTATAATTGTTGTTAGTGGATCCGTATGTGTAAATTAAATAGGCATATCATCACCATCACCATTTGTTTATTTGTTCTGTGTCTGGATGTAATTTATCTATAATATGTATGTATTTAAAATATATAACTATGTATATCACCAAATTCTAAGATAGTTGGTATTTAACAAAACCTCTATCATTTATTACCCTCCCATAAACCCACCTACCTCATTCTTTCTCAGCATCGCTCAATCGGTCGACTGGTAGAGAATGCCTCAGGCATTAAGTCCGCGGATGCATGTACTTGTTATAAAAAAATATGTCAGCAGTCAGGTTACCATAGTACAGGCTCTGCCTAGTTTGGGATCAGACGTTACCATAGTACAGGCTCTGCCTAGTTTGGGATCAGACGGCCGTGTGTGAGATGTGTGAGATGTGAGGTATGATTATCATCACCCTATCGTAGTCCACTGCTGGACATAGGCCTCTGCCATTGCACGCCACTTAGATCGATTTTGGGTTTCTCGCATCCAGCTATATGGGAAAATAAAAGTGCTAAAATATCATAATTCTTTATTTAGTGTGTGTCAATCTTATGAGTTTTTGATACAAATGAAATTTCGTCTTCAAATTTCAACATTTTCTAATGTAAATGTTGTGTTTTCCGTTGTTAGTTTCAAGAAAATTACCCCTACATTAAAATTTGCATTTTCTGATGATATCTGATAATTTTATTAATAAATTATTTAGTACTTAAAAAAGTTAAATATTTTTGTTTAGTTAGGTGGACGCAACAGGCATTGCAGAGTTCGAAATAACTTTAATCTCCATAACCCTTCGTGCCAGAGCTAGTAAATAAGACTTCTGTTTTAGGATATATCGCGTTTCTTGCAACAGACACAACTAAACTACACTCAAAGTAAGCAGAACTTGTACTGCGAAAGCTAGATTGGCTGATAGAATACTTATATAGTATTTTTTTTGCAAATACATACATATTATACACAGAAAACACCCAAACGCTGGAACAAATATTTGCAGATCATACAAATATTTGGTCCTCCTGGAGTCGAACCTGAGACCTCGGCACAGCAGTCGCATACGCTAACCACTGCACCGCCTAGGCAGTCGACTAATATTGTAAACTAATAATATTGTAGACCAATATTCTATGTAAACAATTGTGACTTATCTAATACAATTTTTATTAATAAATGTAGCAAGTGTAATAATAAAAAAATAAACACTAAATTAAAACCACTACCTAGTACATACATTTATTTTATTTTTCATTTACATCAAATAGTAACTATTCCATATTCAAAATGGTTAATACTAAGCCTTACTCAAATTATTTAAAGTTAGACTACATTTTGTACTGAAATATAATCTAAGCTTTAAAGAGTTATATTCATATACTGTTACGGTCGAATGACGTCATATATATTGGACTTAATGACGACAATAATGTCAAATAACGCCTATAATCAAAGTCAAGTTAACTAGACACAACCACAACCAAAAAGTTAAAATATAAAATGCCTGGATACTTGCAACAGAAGGTCACATGTAATTCGTATAAAATCAAAATTTAAATTCTAATACAAGGAATTCAAGGTATATTTTATTAAAAAATATGCTGAAGTAGTAATGAATAGACAAAGGATCTAAGTGCCAGCTTAAACTTAAAACGAATAAAAATAGATTTGAAAATCAAATATGTGACCGCCATTATAGGACATTATTAACATTTGCAATACTAAATATAGATTAAGTACATTAATATCATTGTTGATACGTTTGAGTCAATGAGAAAAATCACTTACTTCTAAGATACAATAAACAATTTCGAACTATATTTGACACGGTACAATAATTGGCAATTGTAAAATATTGAATAGGATTACCCAATCGAGGTTTCTTTCAAGCTTTTTCCCAAACTAGGATTAAGTCTACTACGATACGGCTGAACGTCAAATTTTTAAGCAGATCGACTGCCATCAGACCTTCACAACCCAAGTAGTAGGCGATATCGAAGAGCTGTAGAAAGACTGTTATTAAACTTTTTAGGACTCCAACTAACCATAAAAATTGACAAAGTACTGAGTTTGAGTTTGGAGTCTTTATGGTCTCCCATTCATAGACTGACCTGGCTAGGATTTCCTAACTTTTCAATGTGTTAACCTACTAGGTCACGAGCCCCCCCACTATCGAATGGCATAGAGGTTATATTAAAGAGTAGACGGATCACTTAATAATAAGCGACTACCGCCGTCCTGTAACTGATGAATCCTCTGAACCCTCCTAGCCAGGATTAGAAGAGTAATCTGGTAAATCTCACTCAATTGCTTCACGCTGCTTTTATATGAGCCCGTGGTATTCCTCCGGTCGAGCCAGCCAAACTCTGGCACTCCTACGGTAAAAAAAAAGAAGAACCTACCAGGGTTGATTTTTAAACAATATATAAATAAGCTAGGAAATTTCGATTAGGTAATCTACTAGCACTGAACACAGTATATTTACTTCATCATTTTACATAATATCACTATAGAGTATTTACAATAACATCGACGATTACATGAATATTTGTAGACAAATGTTATCACTAAAAGAAATAAAGCTATCACATCCCTAATATAATAAGTTACTAATTCTTAATAGTTCTTATTAAATATTTACAGCTTGTGTTATTGTAAACGGGTCTTAGAAATATGTTAATTTGTGAATTATGTTTGGATAGAGACCTTGAAGTAATCTATGAATAAAAGTTTAAAATTTAATTATTTTTATGATTCAGGATGTTAACAGGACGGTCAGTCACCTGATGGTAAGTGACAACCCCGCCTATAGACTCCTGCAACTTAAGAGTTACAAGACCGTTGCTAGTCTTGGAGAGGAGAGCAAGCTTGAAGGTGTGAATGTCGTATCGCTCTGGAAACATCGCAACCAATTTACAAATGAACTCATCTAAATAAGTTAAGAAAACTTTGTTCTTTTAATTATTTAATGAAATAAATAAAGCTGTCCACATTAAAATACTTTTATAAAATCGTTGCAATATTCTTACATTGCAACGATGTAGGCGGATTTATTAAGAAATGACATTTCTACAACTGGGCTGAATTTATTGATACTTCGTACGCAAAAATCCGTCAAACAAAATTTCGGAAGGATATCTTTCGTTACTGTTTAGATAAAAATAGTGTCACAAAGATCGCATACACTCGAACACAGTACCCACATAGGACAGCCATGCAAAAATAAATATATCAATAAGAATCGTTTACAAAACTCAATAACTAAACAACCACAACATCATACCGTCAACGAAATCATCTTCCTCATGAGGTAGAAAATCAAATTGCATAAACAATTACACCATAAAATATTATTATTTACATACAATGGACAAATACCAAAAAGAGCTTACATTAACTCTACAACCAGTTGCTTAATATTAACATAAGCATTATTTACAACTTTGTACACTAAAAAATAAGTTAGTAATACTGTAAAGAATTTTAAAGCTTAATCCTCAGAAAAATATTTTCATTTCTAAATCACTAATTAAAATTAATAATCAGTCAGTTTATAAACAAAAAAAAATGCTAAATTATTATCTGTAATTAAAATTGCAAAAAAGAATACAAAGAACCATCGATACAACGGGAAATTCTTTGAATAAAAGATGGCTTGATTCCTTTTATTTAATTTTGTACAAAATACTTTTAAGTAGAATGTACATCGAAATGAATTCATATTACAATGTCGGTATGAAATTAACATATATGTATAATAGTATTAACATCTAAAATAAATTATTTGTTCTTAAAACAGGTCGTCCTTGTTTTACTATGAAATAGCTTCTCTCAGCTTTTAATTACCATAGTTAAGAGAAATGGTACTTACTTTTTAATTCATAAAAGAAGGTTGAACTCTGATAAGAAAGTTACTATGCATAATATACAAATTATTATTTATCTCATCTTCGAAATAAAATGCAAATGATTACAGTTTTGGCAGTTCGCAAAGGTTGCAGTAAATAAAATTCAACTTTCAACAGATTTCTCTTATTTAACACCTGAAGCATCATCATCTTCTACGGGACTAAACAATCTTTATAGACAGTCATCATCATCAAGTAAGTCTCCTTATTCTTTGTTATATAGACCAAAATAATGTTTAATTACAAACATGATGATCTCGTTTAAATCGACAAATTTCGCAATGAACTCGGCAACACCATACAAAACGGCAACGGCATTTCTCTTCATGGTCTCTGACTCTTGTCTGGTAACCCCGACCGCAGCATAGAAGACGACAACCGTCTAGACCAGCTGATGTCCTGTTGCAAGTACGACCACGCGTTCCGAGAATACCTAACCTGAAAAAAATAAAACAAAATTAAGATTCTTACTCTTTGTATCTAAATAAAATGTGACTTATTGTCTGTTTGGTCATAGGATATAAGGACCGAGAGCTATACCTAAGCTAGGCCTATGTTCAGCAACTGACTGCAATGGGCTAATTGATTCATTGATTGATTGGACATAGGACCTTCATATTGGATAGGCAATAATTCCACTTTAACTTTGTGACGTACAATTACAATAAACGACTGATTTTTTTCTAATAGTTACCTACTCGTGATAATTATACTATCATTCGTTTCATTATCAAATAACTTTGATTACGAATTGATTTATCACAACATAAATATTCACTCAAAATAGTCCTCAATACTGTTATTTACCGCGTGATTACACTATCTACTCGCATTGTTATTGATTTATGTATATCCATACCTACTTATATTTTAAATATGAAAGTAAGTTTGTTTGTTTATTTGTTTGTTACGCTTTGACGGCCGACTCAACCACTAATCCGATTTTAAAAATGATTACACCTATAGAAAGCTACATTATCAGCGAGTAACATAGGCTGCTTTTTACCGCGATAAACGATATACACATTGGCGGAGCCGCTTCCAAAAGCTTGTTATTTATATACAATTTGACTGATTATTATTCCATGACATATTATTAGGTACTTTATCAAACTCATATTATGCTACTACGATATCATTTTTTACTCAATGGATGAACAAAATATCTCATGAGTCACTAATACCACGATCGATGCTGTCATTTATGGTAAATCTGTTAGTTTTATTAAGATATGAAAATTATTTAAATATGAGATTGTTCACCGACTCTAATTAAAAAATATACCGCGAGACCACAGCCGGTTTCCTGCTGTCCTAAATGGTTGCCGTGACTCTTTTTTTATTGCAATTGGATTTTTGAAATTGCAAATTCTTTAATCGATATCTCTATTGCTAATGCAACACTGCTCTCCATACACATATCCATCCATTTTTTATAAAATTGGGGGCTCGATCGTAAACCATAAAGAATCAATGTTATATATTTGCCCAGAGAATTTCTCCTCTTATTTTGATCTCACTTATAGGAGAAAATTTATAAATACCTGTGTTTCAGTAGAGAAGTCTTGATAAAGATAATTTTAATGATAATAATAATCGCATCGCCACGATTTAAATAAGGAGGAAATATCAAAACGACCGATCCGTTCTGTGACTTGCACTGGCCTCTTTCTACTCGTAGAATCATAAATTAATTTATTTTATACTTTATTAGTAATTGTTTTTTTGCCCGCTGCTTGCCTTGCGTAATGGTGATTTTATCCAATTGATTATCCGTCACGAAAAATCTTCTTACTCAAGGTGAGAAGTAGCTCCAGAAGAGTAATTTAAAAAATCGAACAAAAAATCTTTCGTCTTTATAATATTATTATAGACTAGCTTCTGCCCGCAACTCCGCCTGCGTGTTTGTCTGTATGGTAAAAAGCAGCCTATGTTACTCGCTGATAATGTAGCTTTCCATTGGTGGAATAATTTTTTAATTGGTTTAGTAATTTAGGTGTAAAAGCGGAAGAAACAAACGACCAAACTCTCTTTTACATTTATAATAAACTATGGATTATTGAATAATTTAATTATATGTGGTACTTGTGTGTGTGTTTTTATATTAATATTTCCATAATAAAAGTATGTAAAAATACATACTCGTCATTAGGTTCGCAGTAATCTGGTGAGTCTTCCAAATAGACTAAATCCGTTTTATTGGGCTTCTTCATATCCAAATGCAGGGGTCGGATTTTCCTAATGTTCTTGCCTCTTTTACGTTCAACCACCTGCAAAGTTTAAAAGTATGTATTATTAGACATAGTTATGTGTGACAGAACCTCAGTATACACCTGAGTGATCATCTTTACAGCCAGTTCATCTTCTCAGTTATATTTTAAAAGCGCCTGGACCTGACTGAATATATTTAGAAGAACCAGAAGGTCTTTTTGAATACTTAAAATATATATTCCGTGTTTTCTGTATAATCTGCGCCAAAATAGGGAGGTTCCAGACACAGATTTTATCTAGACCAGGCCGAGGGAGATCGAAACCACTTGCATTTTGTCAAAACCTAATTCATATAATAATCACTGCATAAGTTATTGCGCGATTAAGGATCCTTGATTACGTAAGTCAGCAGATTTTTTCTAGATGTCAAAAGTTATTTTACAATATGCGAACGTTACCATAAATAAATTTTACGGAATGCGGAGTCATAATGTTCGTGGTTGGAATGTTGTCGTTCTGCTTATTCAAAGATTGTTAATTAGTCTGAGTCCAAGACCATTTTGTCTTTATAATGTTAATGTTCACCAAATGCTGTTTAAAAGACAAATAAAGTTTTTATTTTTCTTCAAGGTTTTAGTTTGCGACCTACTAACCTTAACGTGCGAAGCTCCCTCATATCTTGTAGACAGTGCGTCACCCACAAACCGTAGCTGCGGTAATCGACGCCAGCATACTCTTACTGAGCATGATCCTGACATGCCATGACACTTGCACACACGCTGCATGCGACTACGGACAGCCTGTAAAGTTATTATATAAGTAAAATTAACTACTCACATTAGAGTCTAAAGAAAGGATTTTGAAGAATAAAAATTATTTTTAAGTTTTTATTAGATGGTAACACAAGCATTAAAATAAAATGATGTGATGATAGAAAAGCATATGATGTCACAACTCGTTAAATTTTAGTTTGAGCATAATTTTGAGGTTTAATTACAGACAGAACTATCGACCTAAAGCCGCTGTTTTGTTTTCTGTCCATTCTTTCACACTAAATAGATAGTGTGAAAGTAATAAACAAACGATTTCTTCTCTCTCTCTTTCAGTAGCATTTATAAATAGTTCGTTCATTTCCCTTTTTAAGTTAAAATCTCATAGTAAAGCATGCATTTTTAACTTGTACTTATAAATGTAATGTCATCATACCCTTCGCCCTGCTTCGTTGTTGTGGAGGTTCACGAGGCCTTCATCAGTATTCTTATCTTCTTTAGAATCAGAAAAGTCTTTGCTAAACATCTCTCCATATCTGATATCCTGTAAAGATATAAAAGTACAGATATCACTACTTAGGAAACGTGTGTGGATTAAAAAAAAACATGCAAATTACTTAAAAATTGATTCCACAAATTGTAGTTTTCTCTTTGCCGATTCCTTTCAATGTAATCGTTCTGGGATCCATCTCTCGAATCTTCCCTTTATGTTAAACTTTTATAATAAGCTTGACTGATAATGTACGTTTCTAAAATAGTACCTTACCTCAGAACAACCTCCCCACTGCCAGTGTCTCGGCGTACGCTTCCTGACCCGTGAGTCGCACGAACACTCATTGAGTTCACCCCGGCTGCAAGCCCGTGCAACGGCATGTGCTAACGCCGCCGCTGACAGAGCATGCACAAATGCTGATTCGCGGGATTCTGTCAAAAGCAATGATGTTATTAAAGATTCAACAAACTTTGAAAAGCTAAAGAGATAACAATAATAATATTAACTTCACACATTTCGCATACGACAGTCTGATCCCAAACTAGGCAGAGCCTGTACTATACAAAATGCTGACAACCATACAATACATATTTCAATCACATACATATAGATAAATTACACCCAGTGAAGTAACAAATAATAACACATCACACAATTATTTGTTCTGGTCGGTGAACCCACGACAGTTTACCAGTTAAAATCACTAACCACTAAAGACCAGTCACTAAATCAAAGTTCGTTTCTCTTTCTCATGTTTGAAGATAGACCAACAAACTACTAGTTATTTTATTTTTTATCATTTATGTAATAATTGAACAAAAGGTATTACTTTCAAAGAATAATACTTAATAAGAATAATAATACATTACTACCCCAATTCATCCCATGGGTGTCGTAAGAGTCGACTAAGGGTGCAAAAAAACGCCGGACACCAGCACTGCAAAACTGCAAAACCTCCTTTCTAAGGAGAGGCCTATGTCCAGCAGTGGACTATTATAGGCTGTTGATGTGATGTGATGATTTCATGTGGAGAGATTTCTTTGAACGTTATGATTCAGGTGTACAATGTAACGGTACATTGTATATTTTCTCGTAGTTTAATTTAAATATTAATTGCCTTCAATAAAGATGAAGCTTCCAGTTGTTAATAACGTTTAATTTAATCAAAAAATGGCTGAGCAATTGTCGAATCTTCAAAGTTAAAATAATTTTCAAATTGTTAACCAAATTCAGATACAAATCAAAAGTCCGTACATACGTCCATTGAACCTGCGTTGCATACTAAAACCAGTAAGTTAGATCTCTTTTAATATTAACAATTCCCATTTATATCCAAAAAGTCTGAAGACAAAAAAGAGTTTGGGAGGTCTACATGATTGGCCGTGTTGTTGCTAGTTTACAGTAAACAAACTGAGCTTCTCCGTCAACAAGACACACACGTGATCCCACTAATCGACATATGAAAATAAACATTTAGCGTCTAAAATGAAGTTCTATAAAATCTGTCTATGAAGTGAACTTGTATACACTTTTTGATTTCGTTCAGAAATTGATGAACGCGTGATATAATAAGGATTTATGTTGATTTTACTGATTATCAGGGCGAGTAGAGTCCACGTATGCCAGCGGATGCTATTAGTAAATAGAAATTACAAGACGTCCCTGAAGCAAAATATGGAGGAAAATCATAAAGCTATATTTTGCAATATAATAGAATCCCTTCTTTTGGTTGATTAAAAAAGAAATTATATAATTAATATTTCCAACACCATCATAATTCAATAGATCTTAATTTATCATCTAAGTATTATTTACGATTTCAATTGGGTGTGTCCTTTTTTACTACTTATTAGTATAAGCCGTATACAAGTATAAATGTAATTATTACAACGTCAAAGTTAGTTACAACCAAAGTAATCAAACACACAATATGTGAAGAAAAATCTTAGTAGCTACCTAAAGGAAGTCAAATATGACCCACGGAAATATTGCAATCCATACTATTACTAATATTATAAATGTGAAAGTGTGTATGTCTATCTATATCTATCTGTCTGTCTATCTGTCACCTTTTCACGTTTAAACCGCTGCACTGTTTTAGTTGAAATTTGTTATAGACATAGTTTGAGTCCCGGGAAAGGAGAATAGGTTAGTTTTTATCCCAGAAATCACCCTTTAAGGGTGTGAAAAAGATGGAGGTTTGTATGGGAAATGAATAACCGCTAAACCGATTTAGATGAAATTTGGTATGGAGATAGTTTGATTCCTGAGGAAGGTTATACACTATCGCGATAACCGACATACACTCGGGCGGAACCGCGGGCAAAAGCTGGTACATAATATTTATATGTAGGACTAGCTGTCCCGCGCAACTTCGTCTGCGTCTCTCAATAGTAATAATTTTTTTCCGTTTTTGAAACATTCTTTATTGGTGCTCCGCTCCTATTGGTCTTAGCGTGATGATATATAGCCTATAGCCTTTCTCGATAAATGGGCTATCTAACACTGAAAGAATTTTTCAAATCGGACCAGTAGTTCCTGAGATTAGCGCGTTCAAACAAACAAACAAACAAACAAACTCTTCAGCTTTATAATATTAGTATTGATATAGTAGAATAAAATTAGGAAAGTATATATTTTGAACTCTCAAAGTAAAAAATCAATACAATGATTGTTCAAGTTCTAATAGTCAATTCCCTGGCGGTCGAAATTCAACTAGAGATCTGTAGTATAAATATTTCAACATCGTACCTGATGACTGACAAGCGCAAGACGAGTACCCGTCTAACGACAAACTGTTGTACACATCACAGTACTTCACATAAATGCTCTTGAGATTAGTTGTTTATTCATCTTGTGTAAATAACCGAATACATTTTAAACAGCTGCAGACAATATTTTAAGATCTTAACGTTTTTATATTCATATAACAATTTATAATAATTAGACTGTGACCACAGTCAGTGAAACCTTTGACGAAACGTCAGACAATTGATAGTCAAGTTATATCCTTCACGTTGTGTATGTATAATTATTTATCATGCAAAGCGAAAATTTAAACTTAAAAAATTTATAAAAATGTTTGACTGACAGAATACATATATAGTTTACAAAACACCCAAACTCCGTTTGGTCCAAGTTTGGGTGTTTTATATGTAAAATATGTATGTATTTACAAAAAGAAACTATATAAGTATTCTGTCAGTCAAACATTGCAAATGCAGATCATACAAACATTTGGTCCGACCCGGTAAACGAGACAGAGTGTCATTTACTATAATAAATTAATTAAGTTAAAGTTGAAAAATAACCTACACTAATATAATAACCCTGCAGTTCTATTTATTGATTGAACACAATGAATCATTGGAACTACCAGTCAGAATGTAAAAAAAGTAGCGAAGTACAAGGAAGGTGCTTAGCATCTATATTATGAAATATCGGCTAATGTGTAAAATGTCACTTACTAAATTTGAGCACCCCGCCAAATATATCCGTGGAGTTCTCCACTGTGCTGCAGTTCCACCTGCTGTGGCGGAACTGGTATTGGCACTCCTCCACCGCTTGTACTGCGCCCGTTTGAAGAACCTGAAAGTAACAAAAAATAAGGGTTTCAGATAGGTTTGATTATGAATTATCAATCAGAAGAACCCGAAATTATGTGTAAGCTTCTTACTTAGTTTTTTATTTAGGTGTTTCACAGCTTATAGTAGGTACAAATAGGATATTTACAGAGTGAACATTACGCCAATTACGAAGTACACAATATTTCAGGTACTAGATAAACAAACAAAATTGAACTCGCATCCATGACTGTTTACATGAATAACGTGTGTGTTATGATTGTAGTAGCTATATGTCAGGTAAGTATTATTTGTGTGTGTTCGGACGCGGGTATCCTTGTTTTTGAGAGTATGTGTGCGTATATGTGTGAGGGTTAGTATGTGTGTGATCTATGCTTGTGTTTAGTTGTGTAGGCACCCTGAAGCTTTTTTTTTTTTTTTTTTTATTTATTTATTTATTAGGGTTAACAACAGTCCTTAAAAATAAATATTACAATTTAAATTTCTACAATCAGGTGAAATCAATTAATGTTAACCACGTATGCAATTTTGATTTTAATAAAAATTGCCCAGACTTTGTCACAGCAAAAATGTAAAAAAAATAAAAGTTGAAGCCAAAACATAAAATATTAAAACTAATAAATTAAATTACAATTAAAAGAACAGTGAGATAATATTCTAGGCAAGCAGTGTGCTGAACAGAGTGTGTGTGTGGTGCGTGTATGTGTGTGTTGTGCGTGTATATATATATGTGTGTGTGTGTGTGTGTGTGTGTGTGTGTATGTGCGCTACAATATACTACATAGCATTACATACATAGCATACATAGCTAATTGTTAGTTATTTTTGCCTTCTTCGATATAATCTTTATTGATAAGTTTTTAAAAGAGTTGCGAACGAGTTACTATTTCACGTTTGATATTTAGAGTAACTAATGAGGTATGTGATGATAAAAGCCAGGAGCGGGCTGTTGTCCAGGACTAAGTGGACTAGGTGTGTAAGTTTTCAACATATCTATTACAAAATCCATTCCATTAAACTCTGCTGAGGGAGAGCTAGACCCCGGCAAATAAAACCAAGTGTTAAGGAAGTGAGGTCACCGGAGTCCAAACCCGATTTTTCTATAACACATTTTACATAACGACCTTAAAAAAAGTTTCCAAAACCGTCAATCGTTAACCTACTTCGCACTTTCTTATCGTTTTTTTTGTTATCTTTTTACAGTGTCAAAAAACTTATGATCATCAGATTGCTATAAAAATGCAAATTATGGAGTAAGACTGGTATATTGTCAAAATATGTTAAAATGTACCCCAAAGAGGCACTTAGTTTTATAACCGACACATTGACAGATTTTAAATTGACAATAAAAAGACAAGTTCGTGAAATTTGGCTAAACGTGATTACTTTGGGTGGTCGAAGTGACCTAATAATGTGTATGAGTATCTTCTTGCAAGCCAATTCAAATCGAAGGTAGACAAAAATTTTCTAAATTGGCCAATGTTATATGTTTTGCTGCAGAGAGTAGGTTAGGTCCTTAAAGAAGTTCAATGAGCTAAGCCCTGATTCAAGACAAATATGGTAATTTGATTACAGAATATAAATTGGATATTTATATTCTGTAATTTATTTAAATATTCTTTGGATTTAATATTCGAAGTTAAGTTTTATAATTTATTTTATTAGTAATTTCTATTATTTTAAGTAAACAATTTTTATCTAATCTTATGCTCACTATCTTATGAATCTTATCATGAGCTGATATTGATATAAAACAATTTGAATGACGCCCGTACTCCTTAGTATACATATTTAATCGTCGAGATATCAGGTAGTGGTATATAATTAGGTCAAAGCCTCTCTGCTTAGATTTAGAATAATAATAACTTAATACATCTCACTCACAGCCGTCTAATCCCAAATTAAGTAGCGTCTAAGTAGGTACCTACTGACTTATTTCCAAATACGTACATATAGATTGATTACACCCAGATATAGAACAAATGCTTAATTAAATAAATAAATAAAGAGCTGTATTCTTTTCAAGCAGTAAATATATATAAGCAGAAGTGAGTTACATGCTAGCTAGAGCTATCCTATAAACTACGAAATTATGTCAACGAGGCTTCTCATTAAATTATTCCTCCTCTCAATGTGATATGCCGTGGCATTTCGACATACTGAAGCAGCAACTACACACATCATCAAAACAGAACACTAATTAAAAATAAAACCATTTGAAAAGTTTACACATTTCCCCTTTAAGGACACAAAAATGACGTGAGGGGTCTATGGACCTCCGGTGGAACGAAGTTCCTTTCGCTTTTTGGAATACGTTTGCTTCTATATGAAATACGAAAAACATTAACGATAACTGAAGTGTCGGATACAAGTCTTTTTCGGCCTTGCTCCCGCTCAAAGCGTGTAAAGCGCGATAAGGAACTTCGTTCCAATAATTGATATAATCGACATCACCTAATGGTAAATGATTACCGCCGCCGATTGAAACCTGCAGCTTATGAGTCACAAGTATATTCATCATCATCCATCATCCAGCCATATGTCATTGGCATTTAAGCAAACACCAGAATTAGAGAGGGGAGGGCTGGAAACCTCACTCATTCGGTGGAGTGAAACGAATGATTTGCTTTTCACTCCTGTCGAAACCTTGTTCTCCCACAATTGAGTTCTGTATTCTTCTATACTCATCTTTCTCATATATTTTTTTATTACTATTACCATCATCACTATCAGCCATTGCATAGAACTCTCCCATTTTCTTCTCGGTTTCTCGCATACAGCTCCTGCCAGCCATCTTGCGTAAATCGTCAATCATTACTATTACCCACGAATGTAAGATTTCATTTTAACAACAATTTTAAAGGGACTAAAAACTAGACTAGAGGCAAAAAATTACGCCAACCTGTTGATACATACACCACTACTATGTTCATTACAAATAAATTAATATTATTTCTACGAAACTCATTAAACATCATTTTTATCACTTACTCGGTAACATAACAGATGTTAGCGAAAGTGATAACAAAGAACTCTATTCCGTTATTCCTTATTGAGAGTTACTCAAAGGTGTTTTTTGAAGCTTTACGCTGAAACGGTTGGAGAGTCTTGGACATAACTTTAAATACATAATATATTACTTTTTATTTATTGATTTAATTGGCTCACCAACATCTGTATACACTTTATAACAGTTAAATGACATTTTTCAATGAGTATGAAGTGGCATAGTGTTACAATTACTTATAGGTAAGCACCTCATGCACCACAAACAATAAATATTGTAGTCTTATGCTAAATTTATACGTATAGTCGTAAACAAACGCTAATATGTAAAACTATATGCTTATTATTGTATGTTTTCGATTAATATGATTTTATATTTTTTAGTAGATGATGAATCTCTTTCTTAGGTACAGATTTATCAGTATACTTTACGGTCCGGTTGACGGTGAGCGGTCAACAACGGTAAAAAATTAATGAACTACCAGTACCTACATACTTACTTCGAAGCGAATGTATCTTAGCAATTAATTTAATGACTAACTTATCAACGGCAATCTCAATTAACTCAGAATACGTTGAGATTAACATTTACGACGTTATCAAAGGAAATTGCAAAGTAATTCCATGTTTTTATTAACTAAAATAAAACTGTCCTTAATGTTAAAATCACTTAGGGTGAGATTTCACTTTTGCGAGCATTATCACTCTTAGCGATTATCACGTTTTGATAGTCGATATCCAATAATTGATTAAAATGCTTTTGAGAACTGAAACCGTTTTTGGATTTTCCAAAGTTTTTAATCTAATCAGACACAAACTAATCTATCTATACTTGTACGAACTGCGAAAAGAAGCCAGCAATCAATCGGGCTTTAATCTCGGTGATGTTTTCACTAATGCACCCTGATGTTTTAGTGTCACTAAATTACCGATATAGGAAAAGGTATCATAAATAACAAGATAATAGTGCGACTTAATCTTGAATGACACATCTGGTAAACATACAATTTGCGAAATACTAAAAACGCAAGAGTGGTTTGTAAAATGAATTAAGTTTTGTTTAGACATTTGCTAATTTATTCTTTTTGTTTGTAATATTGTAGTCAAAACATACAACATTATATTGTACATCTATCAAAGCAAAAAAATAATCAATAACCATAAACAAATTTGAAATTATTCCAGACCTACCATATAAATATAAACCAACATATAAGCGTAAAACATATAAATCTAGAATATTAACATTTTTAAAAAGTTATCAGCAGTTTTGAAATTCCCACTGTAATCAGAAAAGATCATTTTTAATTCCCTTATTAAGAGAATGTTAAAAACGTTCGCGTGATTAAACATGACCCTTATGCCTTTGTGATGCGTTTTTACGATCCCGTTAAAGGGCTGTTTGTTCCATCTGTCTTTTAGCCGTCCTTTAAACTTCTACGCACTTCTTTTTATTTTACTAATGTTTTTTCTCACCACTAACATCTTTTATCTCTTTTTGGTATATTCTACTTTCTTTTCTTCTTATGAAATTTGGTATATTATTCCTAAAAGTCGTAAAACCTGGATATCTCTACATTATTATGGTGGCAGTGTCCCCGAGATAAAAAAATGGCAAAAATGGATGGCAAAAGATTCTATGATTCATTTAAACAGCGTTTCGGTCACACAGCACCCAGAAATAATGGGCGCTTGGAGAAACTGATTATGGTTTCGAACATGGAAGCAAAAATAATTATGATCTCACCTTAATCATAGTATCAGACAGCATGCATAACTGCTTCTGCCGCTCGACCAGGTACTCGAGTCTGTGGCAATTCTCTTTGTGTAACACTGTGAAGGTCTCCAACGATGTGTTCCCAACTTGTTCCTCAGGTCGGGGAGCTGCCAGATTCCTAAAGAAGAAATAAAAACAATATTACCAACACAAGTCACTGATAATAGTCACTCACTAGTCGAAATTCGACTGTTATTCATCAAATAGTTGATAATTCGTTTTTGTCGAAGGCGTTGCTCACATGAATATTAATTAAGTCGAGAAAGTAGGATGTCCTTCTGGCATATTGTTTATTCGGACAAAAGTTATCGTGTGTCCTTTTCCATAACTCCGACTTGAAAAACACCAAGAAAAATTAAGAGAATAAAAATCGGTTGGTAGAAAAAGAAAATAAGAGTGTTGAACGGTTTTGTTCAAACCTATTAACTAAAACTCTCTTACGACGAGTCAGAATCAATGAAATTGAATAAAATTTGGACATGTAAAGGACTTTTAAGGCTGTTATAACAACGATCCCGGCATGTCAGACATCAATCGTTCTAGCTACTATAAGTGACTCTGGTCTTTAAGTAACCCCCACAGTGTTTACGAAACGAGTCTTACAAACTTTAAAATACCACATACGGTACAGTCACATTAAGTTGAAGTGTTTCGCAGAGTACGCCAAACCATTTTGTTTGACTCAGATTGTCAAACAATTTCCGTCGTGTTTTGGAAGAAGTTCTTCATATGGCATGACAAGATGATAAGTGAACGAGGCCTTTCACAACTTCTGGATATACACATATTGCAATTTATAGATGGTATTATTAGAAAAATTCAATCCAAACTGATAAAACTAATGTTACCAATTCTAAAAAGTCTGTTTTAATTTTCGAACTAAATAATTCAATTATCTGCAATGAGAAAGGATAATTCAGTCATTATAATAAAAAAAGGTTTTATCTAAGACTATAAATACAAATCATTTTTGATATTCTACTTTTTAGATTGGATTGTACACAATATCTGTGTCTACAAGACCATCCACAACTTCTGGGTACATACCTTAACATCTAGATCTTACGCAATTATTATGTATTTAATAAAAGTAGTCAATTACGTTACATTCAACAAAGACAGGTGTATCAAAATATACTAAAAATAATAGCCGAAATAAAATAAAAAAGGTTTCGACAAACTTAAAGTTTATTTTTGAAGCTTAAATAAATTAACATTGTTCTCAAATTAAACTTCACCAATATAGACTAAAAAAATATCCTAATGTGCATTTACATTTGTAGAATGCGAATGTCTACGTACAGAGTCAGAGCAAACACTTGAACACTGACAATTCTTGACAAAAACAGGATAATGGTTACAAAGAAATAAACTTGGCTTATTTGTTTGTTTTGTAATAAATCTCAGAACTGAAGACCCTACTAAACGAGTTTCATGTAATAAAATAACAATGTTGAACATCATTGTGTCGTAAAATGAAAAGCTGCTTAACGTACGAGTACCCTCTAAGAAACAAAAGCAAAAATATAAGGTAATTAAAAGTCGAGACGTCCGCTATGCGCGGCCTCCTCCACTCAAATGTGAAATGCCACTCGAATAAAACAAAACTCGCTATTACTTACCCTCTGCTTTTGTTCCATTTTTGAAAAATATTCTCTATTCAAACGGACCAATGCGAAGCGGGCGCGGCACGACCGTTGATTGGCCGACAACCTCTTAAGTGCAAGTAGAAATAAAAGTGCTTTGGTAAATGAGGCTTGCTGTCTCTTTCGTGCTCTCCGAGCGTGTATATCGTTGTTACGCTTGGTTTTTCGTTTTAATTGCAAGCATGAGAGGATATGTAAAGGGTTGTGGGACCTTGAGTGTTGCACGTGCAACAGAGCTCCGACGGGGAAGCGCATTCAATGTTTAAATGGGGGTAGGAATTGTTTACGTCATCCATGATATGCAATGGGATTTGTGTCGGAACAAATCCGTATCGCGCACGCAGGTCAATAGTACCTGGTGACTGATTAAAGTGTAATTTTCTTGCAGATTTTTCGTTCCTATTATTTATTGAGAGATCTGTGAGATTTTAATGAGTGAGGTTATCTTTGTCGTTAAAGTTGTGTGGAGTGAGTGAAATTATTGTAACTAATCTTGTTGTTTTATTGTTATGAATATAAACTATAGTGATTGCCTGTATACTGTACTGTAATGAAATGTGTATAGTTTAGGAGTAGTCGTAGTCGCAGTCCCACATAGCAGTTAGGTCATAAATAATAGAGACAGACCTAATTAAAATGAACATTTGTTTTTTTTTTAAATAAACAGTTTATTAAAAAAAACACGACACATTTTTTAAACTATATAAAGTCACAAACATAATGCTCACCAAGTAGTAGGCATTGCTATAACTTATAAACATTGTGGACTACGGTGTTGCCAATTACCAACGGAAATACTGAATAATAGTCTACTTTCATAAAATAATTGACTTGAAAAACTAAAAATGTATAGTAAAAGAAGTATTGCGTGCTTGAATCCCATCAAGATGGCAACACTGACTAATAGTGTTGCCATACAAGTACCAATCCATTTCCGCTTTTTCCATTCCAAAGTTGGCTTCCGGCCATTTTTAATAGTTACCGGAAAGGCATTTTAAAAGCCTACTTTGTAAATTACTGTAAGGTACGGTTTGTGCTTATTATGGGACATTAGGGGCAAAGTGCCCACACACCTATGCCAAAAGACCCATTTTTATATGAAAATAATAACAATAGTAATAAGATGTTTTGTACCTTAAGACATTTTTATTCTATTTGGAGTGACTGGTTAGAAAAAGTAGGTTTATAAAAGGCTATTTTTTACACGCTTTATATTAGCTTCACTTGTATGTTTGTTTGTATGTTTGTAACCGACTCCTTTGGACGTGATTTTGACTGACTTCAGACTTGACTTCTGAGGTCAGAATTCGTTTAAACTTTGTAGATATATCGAGGACCGATGACAGTACACTAATTTAAAAAATAAAATAAAAAAAAAATAGTTTTAAAAAACTAAAAAACACGCTCTTTATAGAAAACCAAACTAAAAAATAGAAAGTAAATTTTAATAAATTTGAAAAAAAGCGTTGGGTGCCTGTTGTCAATAGTAAAAAGCACCCCACGCTTTTTTTTAAATATTATTTATAGAAAGTAGTGACTAGTAATAATAGACTAGACTAAAATAAAAAAGTAGTAGTAGTAGATAATTTTATAAAGCCAAAAAGTTTTTTTGTTCTTTGTTTGTTTGAAGGCGCTAATCTCAATTATTCTTTTTGTATCAGATAAAATATTTATTAAAGAATGAGACAAGCAATAAAAATCATGCTAAAATCTCGAGAAGTGGAACAGTAACTCGCAGGAAATGGCTAGTTCAAAATACATGAACAGGCTTCTCAAGCATATTGAATTACTTGTAATTGGATATTCCGCAATATTTTTTATGATATACTCGTACAGGTCAAAGGAGAAAATGGATCGCAATTCATCACATCAACAATCTTTAATAGTCCATTGCTGGACATAGGGCTCTCCTTAGATAGGAGGTTTCGGCCTACTATGCCACGCTGGCCAGACGAGTTGGTATAGGGTTTGTGTCAAGTTTACCTTCTCTCTGCAGTACTGTTGTCCTGCGTAGTTTGCTCCCTTAGTCGACTCTTACGACACGGATGGGATGAAACCGGGTGGTGACATTCTGTATTCTTAATTCGGCACCACACGGACAAATTGGACACCTAATGGTAAATGACTACCGTCACCCATCGACACCTGCAACTCACGAGTCAAGAAGTGCCCCTCCCAGAGTTAGGGTATGGGTCTTAGCTTAATTACTCGAACAACTGCAACGAAAGAATTGTTTAACACCACTGTTTACCCCATCAAGCTGGCCCAGTAATGTTTGAAATGGAACTCTTCTGTATCCTGACATGCACGAGTTAGTGGTATTTTTTTAAGGAATTGGTGTCATTAAGAGATACAATTAGAATTCTACCACGTTTTCCCATGAAACTCCTCTTTTACTTTTTTCTAAGTACGTAAACTTCATCTAAAACATAAATATTGGGCACCATAAACTGTATTGGCGGTATCTTCAAAATATAGATAAAATAACTAGTTCTCAAATATTCCGTTAGACATAATAATAGTGTGGATATACAAGCATAACTATTTAAGGTAAGGCAATTACTCAAAAATCTTTAGAGTCAATATTGACAGGCGTGTGAAGGGCCGGCCGGCTTATCTGTAAGGGCCTAAGGACTTGAAACGGTACATTCGCTATCGAAAACGTTCATATTCGTCTATCGAATTCAATCGCTATCGAAACTGTTTTTGTAATACAACCATGAATGGACAATAATTATCTGTAGAATTCTGTCCGCAAACGGAACAGCTTATTGCTATCCCAAGCTGTATGTCACGGGGCTGTATCATTAGCACCGTAATAATTAGTCCATTAAAATTTATATGACCCCTTGCACCTGCCAAGTAACTGTTGAAAGTATTTGTGTTTTTGTTTCCAAATTGATCACGAACCTAACTCATAAAGGTCTACGGGGTTCGTGATGAATTTGGCCTTTTTTGTTTAGCAGAGGGGTAACATCGCAGATACTTTAACCAAAACAATCTGGTATTATAAAATATTAGTATATTTTTTAATTTATTATTTAAATTATATTATAATTATAAAGAGTTCTAAAAAAATCCTAAATAAAAGTGTAAACAAAAATATAACAGGCGAAATGGATAAATAATACACAGAATATATAAAATTACCATTCACAGTCACAAGACTCTTTTTTAAGACTGCGATAATTGATGAATGCATGATTAATGTTTGTTTACATTTTTGAACATGATTGATAAGCAAAATCTTTCAATACCATCTCGGGGTGACTAGATAAGCTAAACAAGTTAAGAAATAGAATCGAAAGCGAAAGCGTAGCGAACTTTCCAGTGTAGCGTATTCCGAACTGAAACAAGACACAAAGTGTTAACAGACCCGTTTTAATGTAAATAACCGTTTGTAATAATCGAAAAATACGAATTATCATAAATCGTGAAACTCGCGACCTTTTTGTGCGATAATACTTTTTAAAAGTCTTTACTAATAGAAATTTGTCAATGTTTATTTGAATCATAAATAAATATAAATGAGACAGAGGCGCTATAACTGTGATTACAGTAACTTCAATACATACTTAGGTATATTACAAATGTGAAAGTGAAAGTTATTTGTTTCTAACCGATAACCGAAACTGATTTTAATAATTCTTTAACAAATGGAAAGCTACATATCATCAAGTAATATAGGCTACTTTTTACCGCGATAACCGACATACACTAGGGCGGACAAAAGCTAGTATTGATTAGATTCTTATGATGAAGTTAAATTATTTGGTATTAAAATTAACCTTTGAAAAGTATCAACCACTTCAGTGCGTTTACATCATGATGAATTTGAATCAAACTGTAATCCTTAACTTTCCAACCTTATGGGTGGAATTTATTTCAAATTAGAACCTTTTCCCAAACTAGGTTGGGATCGGCTTTAAGTCTATAATAATATTTTCATTAACCCTTTTGTGGAAGAGGAGGTATGCATAGTATTGTCAGTGTGTAGTAAAATTGGTTATACTTTTGAAGTGGTTTTTATAATAAAATGACTGAGACAAGTATCCTGTGTATTTAGTAGGCTATTTAATTTCTTATCTATTCTATTGGCGAAATCTCCGACGAACATTTTCGCACATAAATTGTTATAACGATATTAAAGTTGATATCTAAATACGTCGAAAGTTAACTTAAAATGTGTATAGATAATAATCTTAATCAAATATCTATTTAAACGTTTCACACATCCGTCGATAGCATTTGTTCACATCATAAAATTAATTAATTCAAATATAAACTGCTTAGGTTTTATACACACGAACGACACCTGTCAGTGATATTCGTCGCTGCCGCACGTGTGTAAGAGGACTTAGAAATCAATTTGTAGAGTATGACTTATATTAAATATTTCTTTATTAGAATAGCTCATAGAAGGTGCAGTGGCCAATATTATTCAATTTTTCATCTGCAACTTACCTTTCTGTGTGACCTTTTTAGTCATAAGATATGGGTAAAATTGGTTTTCAAATATTTTTATAATATCCTACCGGACCTTCAAGGAAAATTACTAAATTAGGGATATCTGACCTCATACGTTCTAATTGAATGCTCTTTCCTGTCTGTTTTTCATATCTTCTAATAAATAAATTTTAGTTTTTACCTTTTGGTAACTAATTGGTTTCTGTAGTTATCATAGAGTTCAAGAATTTACTAGTTTTTAGAGCCCTGTTAGAGCTCCAAACTAAATTTCACTGAAATCAAAATCGACACGCTTCAGTTCAGTTAAATGATGCATGACTACACCGGAATCATGCTGATGCAAAATACTAAGTCAGACGTAAGTAAGACTAAAAGATCACAAGGTATGAGAATATTTTCCTAGAACCATTCAAAGTTAGCCCTTTGTGTAAACTTGCATTACATAGTGAAATCCAAAGAGGTGCACGTGAAATGCTTTGACGGATCGCTTTAATATACTTTAATTCCCATAACTTGCGATTCCTCTATTTTATGAATAATAAAACTGTTTCCTATTGTGATTTCAAAGGGCCCGGTTAAAATACTATTAAATGTTGAGCCACTTCAACATTTTCTGGCTTCAATATCAGAACTGGTTTTACTTGTTCCACTTAAAGCGTAATGACAGGATGAGTTTTGGGAATAGGCCTCTGGACAGTAGAGAATACAGTTAAATATTACACCAATAGCAATTATAGATTTGCCTATTTAAATAATAATAAGTAGATTTTTAAATTGTATTTTTATAGGATATAATTATCTCCAATGAAGTTAAAGTTCTATAAAAGTGCAAGAGAGAAGAACTTTTCTCGCTCAGTTGCAAAATGATCGATAAACGAAAGTTCAAATTGAATAAAATACTTGGAATGTAAACAATTGCTATACCTATAATATATCACAAATAAAACACAACTAGAAACATTTTAGACAGATCAGGATTTTATATTCGAGTACCGTTGAATTATCAAGTATGCATTGATCAAAAAGTTTATGTTTGAAGCCCATGTCGGGGCACCAGGGACTTCCTTTCTAGGGTATACCTGGTTCCCCGGCTATTAGTACCCGGCGACGGCGTGCGGTTTTAGTCGGTTCGAGTCCGACATGCCACCGACAGGTGGTATCCGAGGGGATTTCCGCACGGGAAAAAAAAAAAAAAAAAAAAAAAAAAAAGGTAAAGTAACAACTGTGGTCATGGAAGGACTGTCGGCTTCTGACCACGATCGATGCAATTCAATC